CTGACTGTTCCCATGGTAAAACCAACCACAGCTACCAGCGCAAACACAACCTGCAGATCTCGCCTGAAACAAGGCATTTTGAATCCCTCTCTCTCCGGCAAAGCTCTGGATTCACTTCTCAGCACAGAGGTAAAGGATGAAATCCAGCATCACTGCGATAGCTCTGCCAGCCTGTGTTGACAAATTCCACCCCATCGCTTGGTGAAGCTGTGCCAGCACATCTGGGAGACACACATAGCGCCCAGATCCACGGGGGCAGAGTTATGGTGGTGTTGGCAGATACTTGCTTGTTCATTTCATGCTTTTCAGAGATCAGTCATTGTGTTTGATGTTCCCGAAAAGCATAGGATGATCTTAACCTTGTGTTTCCCATTCTTTACAACAGAACTCAGCTTGAGAATTCACATTTCAGTGAGGAACAGAAACTTGAAACAGCCCCCAAGCACCTACTGTATCAGGCTGAGGCCTTACCATGTTGATTTACACACTCTTCGGATTTGTAAAGTGGGGGTGTTTTTTTATCCCACAGCTGCAAAGCCAAGAACCTAGTTTCTAATGAGAGGTGAGATTCAAAATACAGCACGTTGGCCACACATATATCAGGTAGGCCATACTTGGCCCACAGAGTTGGCACCCCTGATTTAAAGCATACCAAGAGAAAATAACCCAAGAAACAGTATGTGTTCCCTATAAATAGCTGCTCTCTAGGTAGTAGTCAGTGTGCAGTTTATGATCAAAATCTGTCCAAACTACATCAAAGTGCCTGAGTATTTGCTGCCTGATTTTGCTGAGTTGTGTATCTAATTTGGCTAACACCTCCTGTCGCAGACCGTTGTCCTGTTTTCTTTCATAGCCCTCTGAACTCTATGGTAGCATTTGGACAGATTTTATGTAGAGTTTATTGAAAGATTTTTGCACTGATTTAGCACATGGGGTACTTAAGCCAAGTGAAACAGGAACTATATTCCTAAGGCATGGAAAGGCAGAAAGGAAATTTTCTTATTGAAATATAATTTTTCCACATTACTTAATAGTCTAGAAAGTTAATACCTTTCTGGCAGCACTTTCCACTGGGAGAAGAAAATACAGTTCCTGCTCAGCCAAACAACAATGTAATAATGCTTTAGGTTGCATTAAACGTCTTAGAAACTGGCAGGTGTCACAGCCACCTTGCCTTCAATGAAAAAGGCAATTGAGAGCCCTTATGAAACAAGGGATTTACATCAGTAGGGGCTACTACACAAAAAACAGGCACATGGCAAGGTTTGAATAGATGGTGAATCATGTGGCCCAAGGGATTTTTCGGGATGGGGGCGTGTGTGTAAAATATCAGGCCATGAGGACCAGATGGTAGAGCTCTGCATGTGCAAGAGAAACAGCAAGAAACACTGCAGAAATGGATACTGAGAAGCAGCTGAAAGTCAAGGAGACGGGGAGCTTTGATTTTGAAAAGAGATAGTTTCAGGGTTGAGTGAGGGTCAAAAGAGTTTTGGCACTGTGAGCAAAAACACAGCTGAAAAAACAGTTTTGTACAGTTGTTCTGTAAACAAATTGAATTACCTTGAGTATATTCCTAGCTTTGTCATAGGCTTCTCTTCTCCTCTTACGCTGGTACTGTCACCCATAACTCCTCTGTGTGTGCAAGGCACAGTTCAGCTCTCCTACATCACAGTTTCTCCTTCCCTACCCACCCTGTCAGTTCACACTAAATTCTGTGGGGCAGAGATTGTTCTTCAGTAAGGGTCTGTGCACACGACCAGCAATTGTTCATCTGAAAATTCTCAGAAATTCACTCTACTTACATGGTAAGTTCCATTCGTTAGGGTCTGTCTTTCCTATTGTAAACTCAGGGCGTTGTCTCTTGCTCTGTATGTACATGCTGTAGTGGGAATTCATCGCTGAAAACACAAATAATTAATATCACTGGTAGTGCTAAAAATAAATATTTAAGACTCTGTCTTGTTAGGCACATTCTTAACTAAGTTCATTAATATTTCCTTCAACATAAATGGGGCTACTCGTCCTTATTTTTAAGTTTATGTTTAAATCTTTGTAAAGCTGGGGTCTGTATTATCAAGAAGAAAATTCTTTAGTGAATTTCAAAAACATAGGTCTAAAGACATTTAGGAAGAAAAAGTCCTCATTCCTGTCTACTTTATATTACCATATAAACTAATAAAATGAGTATACAGCAGATGGCGTGTGCTGTTAACTCTTCTCTGCAATTGTGGCTACAAGGAAGTACCATTAGTCTGAGACCTTGCTGGTTAGCTAAAATAGTTGTATTTTCCATTAAAAATATTGCTGCAAGCCATGCTTTTTAGCCTAAGGGCATGCCTTATGATAGAACTTAATTGACTGGAAACTTAAAAACTTTTACAGCATTCACAGTGCCTCCAAATAGAAGAACGTAGCTAACCAGAATATTTTGTCAAATCTGTTAACATAGGTACTATTTAAAACAGTATTTTGTGAGCAGAAAAGCTTATAATTATGCTTCTCTTCCCTCATTTGACTCTCTATAGTTACAAAACTCATGGGCTTGTAATATTACTGAATCTTGGTTTCCTTGACTTCTTCAAGCACGTCACAAGGGACAGAGGCAGCACAAGTGCATTGGTGTTGCTTCCTGAGGAGGTCAAGCTGAGGATATGCCTTGAGGTTCTTCTGTTGTGCCAGAACTGCCCAGGAGGTTGCAAGCACTTTTCCCCAGGCTTGGTGTTTTGGGAAGTGGAGTATCAATTTAATTCATCACCCTGTATTGTTAAAAAGTCATAGCTTCAATATTGGACCTAATCTGGGCATCTTTTTTGGGTGTCCTCATAACCTGACTTACCTATCAATACCATCTAAAGTGTTAAATCATCTTTTAAAAATCATAAGCTTCAAGCAGTTTTCCTAGGCAGTGTCCTAACCTTTCACTCCTTCCTATTATTTTCCTTGGCAATCATGAAGTGACAAATTGGTAACAAGACTGGAACACAGATATTTACCATACCCCATTAAAATCTTGGGTTTGGTACACTCACTGTAAATCTCTATATGCATATTGACTCATGAGCTGCTGATGTGTGAGCTTTAGATGAAACAGAACTTGGGCCAAAATCAATATACAGGTCAAAACAGAAGGAGGAGAAGGACACTTACAATTAATAATGATTAGATTTGAATTTTACCAACACAGGGTTGAATCTCCCTTCATTTAAATCACTGTCAGAATTCCATATTAGACTTTAGTTTTTCAGAATCTGCAAAATATGCGTAGCTTTTGCATAGGACTTTATATGCCTAAAGCACTGCATACCTGTTAATTAAAAACAAAGAACCGAGACACAGAAATGCCATATTTCATCAATACTAAGTTGACTCACTAGAAATAGAACATCCATTACTTAAAAACAGTCTTTTGAGTGTTTCCAGTTGATTTTATAATCTGCTCATTTTATATTGTTTCATCCTGAATCTGAAGGTATACAAATCTAAAAAGTTTCCTTAAATATAAAATGTAAAAGGAGACAAAGCTCTGAGAAATGTAAAGATTGGTTTGCGAGACTTGCAAAAAAACAACAAAAAAGCAAAAAACCCCAATTGAAGTGACCCACAAAATACTTTTATCCCCCAAAAAGCTTTCATAGCAATTATTGAAAAAAAAACCCAACTGAATTACAGTATTTGGTTACAGGAAGACTACTAAGTCTATCTGTTGATCGTATCATACATAGTGTGATGCTGATTTTGAGCCAGGTCCAAATAAATCGTTTCAGGGTAAACCAATTCTTTCCCGGACCATTCCTCCCTGTGCCATTACAGCCAACAGGAGCTGATGATTTTACTGTGTTCCAGATAAGATGTAGAAGATCGTGGTTCATAAAATCTTTTTGACAGCTTTTGTATTCTACACACTGTCATCAACTTTTTCCTCAGTAAAATGGTTAGCTTTAAATAGGTGTGCATTTGGCTGCTTTATTATTATTATTATTATTAATAATAATATATAACAGTTCGTTGGTTATTTATTAACATGTCCTTCCTCCTCCCTATTGCCGAAATACCCTTTTCTTGCTTTTTGTTTGCCCTCTGCACAAAGCAGAGTCTTTCTTGAAAGAGATGCGGAGCGCGGTCGTGTTTGCATTCGGTCTGGAAGGCCATCTAGTGACACAACCGTGCAGGAGAAAATGCAAAACCTTGTCTGTTTTTTTTTTTTTCTTAGTTGAATTAAATGATCTTGCTACACTCAAGCATGCCCTTGGTGGTTTGTTGCTATTCCCACAAGTGGTATTTCAAAAATTTCAGAGTCAATTTTGACTTTTTTAAGAACTCACCGGGTTCGAGACGGAGCACAATCTTAATCCCTGATCGGGAAGAAGCATTTTTTTTTTGTGCAGCACGGTGGCAGATTGGCACCTGACTTGTGTATCATGGCCAAATGCACCCGGGTGCTGTGACCCCCCTGCCTTCCATGGTACAAACCAGCCATGTTGGTGCCTGGGGCCCCCACATCTCTGCAATTAAAATCTAAAATTCCAGTTTATTTTCATCTCAGCTCACCTTGGATGGCTGCAACTGGGTGAATAAGCAACGAGCAGAACCTGTTGGTTCCTAGTCCGGCAATAAGTACAGTAAAAACCAGGCAGCAAGTCACTGCCGCTGACGGGGCTGGCAACCTGGGGTAAACCAACATGGCGCTCCCGGTCCAAAGGGGCTCCCTGGAGCAACAACTGAGGATGGGGGGGAGGACGGCGGCGCCACAGCTGGTGGAGGGGGACGAGCACCCAGGGGCGGGTGACATGGCGGGGTGACGCACAGGGAACCCGGCCCAAGGGCCCCGGGGGGGTGGAGGCCATGGAGCCTCAGCGGCTAGACGGGGTGCGCAGCCCCGGGG